TGTTACTATTAGCATGTCATTACTATACTTTTACAATGTTTCATTGATAACAAGATCTGTGATTGTAATCCAACTTGATTGGAAAGAAAGTATTTTTAATTTGGTTGTACTCTAATATCTGATGAGACCTATGAAAGGTTTAAGACATTTTTCTACTTCAGTGAAAACATTTGAATTAAGTTTGAATCCTTTTCTAAGTCAAATCATGAGTAGAACTTGATGAGAGAAAAAAAAAAAAACCCAAAATAATTATAATTCCATTGTTAGCTATTTGGACAAGACAGATCAATAGATGTGGATTTTATTTTTTGCTGAATGATTCAACTACTTTGATAGGAACCTGTCTTGCCAGTCAGTGTGAGATGAAACTCACAATATATGGGTGGGTGGCTTTGTTTTACTCTAGTTTCATTCAGTGCTTATTGCTTTCTATTCTTAGTCCTGCACCTGTTCAGTTTCTTTTATCAGCTCTACTGTTGTGTGTGTATATATATATATATATATATATATATATATATATATATATATATATATATATATAATCCATCCACCATGAATAGGTCAGATAGTAACTGCAGTGAAATTTATCTCTCACTTCCGTATGGTAGCATATCTAGATAAATATCAGAATTTTCTAAGAAATTTGGGAGGCTTTAGAAATTATTGCTTTCATATCTTGTATTAAAGAATGTGCTTTCTTATCAACTGATAGTGCCAATATATGTTCCTTTTTTAGATAAATTAGATTTGTATATGACTTTTTCTGTTTTTATTTTTCAGTATGCTTTTATTGAGTCTTAAGCTATTTTATATTTAATTTCCCTCTTGCTTTTTCCTTTTGGGTTTCACAGGAATTTACTGTTGTTGGTTAATTGCTGCTTTCTAGTTGACTGTAGTTCATGGGATTAGTTGGGATTTTAAAACTCACCGCAAAACACCCTTTGCCTGTATGAGCATTATTATAATTCTGAACTTTGGCAACCCTATCAGCACTATTCCATTTCAATTAATGGCTTGTAACACACACACACACACACACACACACACACACATTAATCAGTAATGAAATTCTGAGAAACATACCTGTAGGTAATTAATTTTTGATGAGTATATAAAATGTTTGAAACTTATCACTGAGCAGTCTTTATATAATACTTGCAGAAATTTTTTTTTTTTTTTTTTTTTCACTTTATATCAATCATATTATCTCTTTCCTATAATCGTCTTTGCTCCTTAGTTTCCTTGTGCGTTGATGAAGTGGTAAATCTAGATGGAAGTTAACTCTCCTCTGTTGACGTCTGAATGCAAAATTACAATGTTTTTTTTTTTGTTTTTTTTTCTTTGTTCTCCCTCCCTGACTAAACAGATTCCCATTGATAAGGGATCAGTTAAAATCTTGGAGGCTTATGTGGGGTGCTGAAAAATTCTTGGCACAATCCACTTCTCAAAATCTGAGCACTGTTTTGCTGGAAAGAGTATTTTATATTGTAAAATGCCAATTTGCAGGATTCTTGTGCTTGGAATTTCAGTTTACTGACTGAACCAGGTCAGTGGATAGTATGAGGTGTTGAACACGGCTCTGTCATGAAGTTTCCGTTTCTGCAGAAGAAAAAGTACATAGGGAATTCATGAGAACATCATGTAAATATGGGGGTGACAAGTGCCAAAAATATCCAATTAAAGAAACGATCTACTATCTAGCATGGGGACTCTTAGAACCAAGATACAGCATGGTCTGGGAGACCTTGAAATTTTTTTTAATCCTTTTTGTGACATAATTTTGGTCAATCAGTGAACACTCTGAAAGAATTGCTGATACCTGGGAGATGTAAGGAATGTTTTTATTTATTTATGAATATGCAGAATCTATTGGCCAAGTAGGTGCCAAAATGTTTGACTACCAACCAGAAACTATATCAGTTTGGACTCCATTGAATTTTCAGCATTTTATTAATATTTTTTAAATAACTTATTATTGATGAAACTTGGTGGTACCACCTATATTTAGAGACATGCAGTGTTGGTGTTAGCGTTGTCTGTGACTGAAGTAATTAAAGGCCTAAAGGTTAGCCAAAAAGGTCATGACTATGGTCTTTTGGGATAAGGAAGGTATTTTAATAACCTTGTCAAGAGAGCCAAATATTTGATGCAGAATAACAGCTGCCATGCTGCTTAGAGGAGGCTTTGAAAGAAAAATGCTGAAGGAATACATGGGAAGTTGTTTTTCATTTTTATATATATATATATATATATATATATATATATATATATATATATCTCATGCAAAAGATAGGGCTGGCAAGATAAGTTTTTTTTTTTTTTTTTTTTTTTTTTTTTTTCAGAGACTATCCATTCAACAGATTTTATACCATCTTTCATGTTTTCAAGTCTTAGTTTGAAAGGGAGATTTTTGATAGATTCAGAGCTGATGTTTGCAGAGCAGGATTTCAATGAAAAATTAGGACTCAAGAGTTTTTATCTTTAATGGTTAAAAATAACAAAACTTGATTTTTTTTTTTTTTTTTTTTCTTTGTTGCTTATTGGTCATTAAATAGAAGTAAAAAAAAAAAAAATGCATCAATAAATAAAATTTTATTTTTTTTTTTTTTTTTATTTTATTTTTTTTTTTAAATTTCACTCATCATAACTGCCAATGATTCTCTGAGAATACAAAGGCTGCACCAAGCAAATCATCTGTTACTGTTCAGGCACATCCATATAATTTGTTCCTCTTGAAAATTCTTTGATACCATTTTCTGAATCTTTTTTTCTTTTTTTTTTTTAATTATTTATTAACGAAATACAAAAACTTGCTTAGTTACTAATAAAGCAACCTTTTTACAATGGAGATTGTAAAGAGATTTACCCATTGAATGCCTGAAGGAAATCTTCTGTATTTAAAACTGATTACATTCCTCGTGATGTTCAGTTCACAATTTCTTTTGCTGGATTTGTAATATTTATGGTAAGCATTTTAATGGGAGAATATAATATATATCGGTGTTTAGGCAAATCCTTGACAGTGGAAAATTCATCCACTAGGACATCATTGGGCTAAAGTCAAGTTTTTGTTGATGGAATTGTTTGTAGGAAGGAGAGATATAAGAATGCAAATGTTGATTATAATTATGCACTGACAAAATGTTGAAGATTCTGAAATTTAACTTTTTTTTTTTTTTTTTTTTTTTTTTTTATCCATGTAACATTTAATATAAAATAAACCTCTCGTACCAATAGCTAGAATTATAAATTTGCTGACTAATCACAAATCAATGCTCTTTCCCTTTAGGAAAATTGGATTATTTATGGGTTTGCCGTGTAGCTAATCTTAGTTTTTGATTTTGGTCCTGTCCAAAATATTTTACCTAACCAGCATATTTCTGATCTATTGATGACGTTCTATTAATACATCCCAGCAAAACTTAATAAACTAAGTCAGGCATACAAAAGAATTTACTTATGAAGTAGAACTGAAAAACCCTACCGATAATGACCTAAAACTAAGCATCGATCACAAATTGACTAATAAAAATCACCTAAATTTTTATTCTCACCAGTACAAGATATAATGTGGGATAATTATCAGATTCAACTTAAGAGTACTCTATTTACATGAGAAATAAATTTAAAAATACTGCTAAGCTTCTCCATATCCTAATTACTTGATATTCAATTCAAAATGGAAGGCTTGTCAAATATTTCAGAATAAAAGACTGAATGATTCAAACAAATCTAATGAATCAAGATGTTACTGAACATTATCACAACTACAATTGAAAGGAATTTTTCTAAGCTTAATATAAAAATTTGTTACTCTTTGCAAAAAAGGGATTAATTCAATCACCTGTAATGATTGCCACAAGGAATACATTGAAGAAAACCTCTAGGAATTTAAATAAGATTACATGAACACTTATTCCAACATCTTAAGAGTTTCTCTTGGTCCATAATTATAACCAATGCTTGAGTTTTTATAATCCCCCTCCACACTCCTTCCTACCTATATAATTACATCAACAAAAACATTACTTTAGCCCGATAAAATGTTACTTAGAATTTTTACCACTTTGTTATTCATATGCTTATGAATCATGTTTATTGTCTATGCTAAGCTTTTGTCTTTTTTCCTATTTATGAATCTAAATAGGAATTTCAAAGGAAACCTTTTCTTTCATATGCAATGAACTTTGATTGTTGAAATATTTGTGATTGCAAAACTTTTTTTTTTTTTTTTTTTAGAGCTTTGCCCAGTTGCATTGCTTTCAGTAAAAAAAATGTTCTCCTGATTTGGCTTAATGAGTGTTGCGAGCAAATATCTTAAACATTATTAAGGATTGGATATGAAGCATTTTTCTCTTATAAACTTCAAGAATAAGTATCTTTTGAATTTTAATGTAAAATAAGTATATGTTTATATATTCTCACTCAACCTGTGCAAGACTGAATGTGATAACTGCAAAAGGGGCTTGATTCGCTTCCCAAAAATCTAACCTGATATTTGTATTTTTCCCTTTGTTTTGGTCAGGCTGAAAACTTTTCAGTACCTGAAATATAATTTGTAAATTGAAATATGAAATAGTTAAAGCTTTGCATGTGTGCATAAACATTGAATTTACCAAACAATATTGATGAAGAAAAAGGGATTTCTCTTGAGACGATTTTATCTCCCTCCATACCCCCCCCCAAAAAAAGAAGAAATGTGATTGGTGGGAATAACTAGATAAAAAAAAACAAAAAAAAAAAAACAGTATTAACCAAAGTAGATGTCATGGATACTGAGAATATAGACATGTATATTCCAAAGTTATGTCAGCTTTTGAATTTTGCAGTCAACATTATTTTTTATCTGTTTGATTCTTACATCAACTTATAAACATTAATCACTTTTATATATATATATATATATATATATATATATATATATTTGTTGAATTTCCACATTCTAATTATGAATTTGGAGTTTATTTTTGTATATTAATAATTTTTTTTTTCTCCAACAGGTATAGACTTCAAGATCAGAACAATAGAATTAGATGGTAAAAAAATAAAATTACAGATCTGGTAAGTGGCAAATATTCCTCTTTTTATGAGATTCATTTGTTAATAATTGCCAATAATGCCTTTTACAAGGTCAGATTCTTTTGGTTGCTCTCTTAAGCTGCTATTCCTGTATGCACCATATCACCTTTTTCTTGAACCTGTCTGTTCCAAGTAGTCTGCAAAATGTTTTGTTATATAAAAATGTAATTGAATATAGAGCATTTATATTGGAATGGTTTCATTTTTAGCTTATTTTGAGTCCTATTAAGCGTTTCTCTAAACCAAATGATAGTCATGCAGGTTTTGGCACAAAGTGAGCTTTGGTGCAGATTCATCTTGCTCTGACTTTCCTAAGCTAAAATAAGGTCAGCATCTAATAATAGTTTGGCAGCCGAAGGTTGTACCTCATCATTTTGCCTCCTTTTTTTTTTTTTTTTTTTTTTTTCTTTCTTTGTCTTTCTTTAATGTCTCATAATATTATATATGTAGTGTCTGGAGAGAAAACCAGCATCCTCTCTCAATTTAGTTCATGTAATAATTACAATGAAAGCTCTCATAATGGAATATCATCATTATTATTCATTGCAACAGAATTGCTTGGAAGTTAAATATTTGCATGCCATATACAATGAAACTAAGTCTTTGCTTTGAGCAGATACTTGGGAATTGTGCATTCATATAAAAATTTGTCTATCTGCTTTTGTCATGCTATTTGGTTGTGCTACATGACTTATTTTTAATCAAAATACACACGCACATATTCAGAGTAAACTTTTTTTTTTTTTCATGTACAGTTGGTAAAGTGCTTAGGGCAATAAATATTATAGACAGTTCCTGCGCACTCTTAGCCCCGCCCACCTTTATTACAACAAAAAGACTTATGAGATTTTGCTTTTGTCAAATTCTATTAAATATATACAGTGCTGTTCGATAAGTGACTCACCTGATTTTTTTTTTTTTTTTTTTTTTTTTTTTAAAATGTTCTCTTTGATGAAACGAAAGTTGAGCTAAATTCAAAAGATAAGTGATCTAAAGTCCTAAGAAGCAGCTTTGAAAGCTCTTTGAATTTAGCAGTAAGTACTGTCAAGCATCCATTCAGTATAATGTTCTGAGGATGCTTTTCTTTTCATGGAACTGGTTTCTTAAAACCTATTGAAAAGACCCTCAGGAGCAAGCAGTACAAGAGAATTTTAGTCTTGTCTGCCCCCTTCTGTTGAAAGGGTGCAAATCGACCCCACCAAGCTCATTTTTATGCAGAATAATGCTCCCTGTCACAAATCAAAATTGATGAAGGAATACTTTGATGAGAAGCAGGTGAGTGTTATGACATGGCCGCCCCAATCTCCTGACCTCAACCCCATAGAAAACTTATGGAGCATTATAAAGTACAGGCTCTCGAAAGCAGTTGAGCAACAAAGAGGATTTGATTGTGAATTTCCTATCCGAATGGAATTCAATGTTTGGAGATGAGATTTGACAGAACCTAATCAAGTCAATGCCAATAAGGGTTGAAAAGGTTATTCAAATAAAGGAGGACCCATAGATTATTAAATATTTTGAACTATATTACCTATTATAGATCTATTATTCTTTATTTAAAGCTGTTCAGTTATGTTTCTATTGATTACTAGTTGCAGGAAATAAGTGAGTCACTTTCTTTTCAGAGTTTTCCTTAAATTTATATCCAAAATTATAATTATCAATAGAATACCTTAGTGTGAGTAAACTTTTTTACTAGGTGGTCAGGAAGGGGTCTTTATATTAGTAAGATAAAAAATTAGTTTGACCCCAAAAACAATGGGCAAAAAAAAAATAGTGATGATAGTCTGTTATTGTTTACATGGATGATTTCCAAGCAACGATAAACACGTGCATATAAGAAGCTGGAAGCGAAAATCGCACTGCAGCTCCATGACGTCACATGACCACGCGAGAGTGAATTCTAGAAGTATTAAGTATGGAAAGCCATTGGTTTATACCAATGGCTTTCCATACTTAATAATATTCTGTTACCAATTACAGGCATTTAAGGATATTTGTGGAGATTTCATAGTTGATTTTGTTTAGGTTAGGTTTCAACTGTTTTATGTATATAGCTTCAAGAATTTTTAGTTTTTGTTTATTGTTTTTGTTTTCATGTTTAAGTATAATTGTGTTTTCGACAAGGATTATACGGAATTGTGTGTCCGGCCAGGTATGTTGTTTTAAATGCCTAAAAATGTTACATTTCATTCAAATGTAGTGTACAGTAATTGACATCTTTGCAAGAGTGCAAATGAGAAGTATTTAGAATTTTTAGTTTTTGTTTGTTTTACAAACAAAATGAAAATATACTAAAAAAAATTAGTAAATACTAATATATCTACAACAGACCCTAGCAAAAAAATTAGGTTAATCATATATTACACTAAATCTAGTATATCCAACTTAATTATTCAAAATGATTCTTCCCTCCTCCCCATCAGTGATTTGCAAAAAACCAACATAGTTTACAAATTCAAGTGCCCTTTGAGAGATTGTATCTCCAATGAATTAAATAATATCTATGTTGGTCACACCACAAACTCTCTTTCACGACACTTGACTCTACATTTGAATGATAACTCCTAATAACATTTTTTAGGCATTTAAAACAACATGCCTGGCCATGTACACAATTCTGGAAAATCCTTGTTGAAAACACAACTATACTTAAACCTGAAAACAAACAAAAACTAAAAATTCTTGAAGCTATATACATAAAACAGTTGAAACCTAACCTGAATAAAATAAACTACGAAATCTCCACAAATATTCTTAAATGCCTATAATTGGTAACAGAAGCCATTGGTTTATACCAATGGCTTCCCATACTTAATACTTCTTGTTTTCACTCTCATGTGGTCATATGTGATGTCACAAGCTGTGACGCAATTTTCATTTCCGTGCCTCGTATACACGAGTTTGTCGTTGCTTTAAAATTTTTCATGCAACGAAAATGATCATTGTTTCATCCGTGTATTGTTTTAATATATTGAAATGTAGTTGTCATTTTTGATAATGGCTTATGTAAGCCGAAAGCTTAGATTGGATTTAAGCATGTATCAATATGGTGATTTCCTTTCATCTTTCAATGATAAGCTTATTAAGCTTCAGACAATATGAAAGGAACTTAAAATAGACAAAACTTGTCTATATTATTTAATGAAACATGCATCAATGAAAAATGGTTGCCTAAATATTGTGTCAGTTTTAAACACTGATGTAGATTCCACAAAACTATAAATTATTAAAAAAAATCTTGCTCTAGATTATTAGAGTACCATCCCATTATATGGCCTACCCAAGTCACAAACCCAACATACCCATCAGACCTATTATGTCCAGAATTAATAGTGCACCCCACAAATTTGCTAGAGCCATCACAAAAATCCTAACTCTGTTCCTAGGCACCATCAGCACAGCACTCATCAAACATTTTGTTGACTTACTCCAAAGAATACGAAACATAAATCTGTCTATGCCAAGTTTAAACATCAAGTCACTATATACCAATATACCCATCACAAAATGCCTCAATATATTAAGAAATCACCTCAAAATCTCCTAGGAAAGGCTTCTCTACCCGTCTAGAAAATTATAAAGATACGCACATTAACTACTGTTTCTTTTCTTTCAATAACATTTTCTACAAACAAAAACTTGGTTTAATCATGGGGTCACCTATCACTGGTGTTCTTGTTTGCCTCTTTCTAGTATTCTTAGAATCCATCCCATTTAAACATATCATACCTAACAGCTCTACTTACCTGAGATATATAGAAGACATCTTACTTTATCCCAAGATACAAACCTATTAAAGATAAAAAAAAAAAAATACTCAAAGTTGAACTTGCCATTAAATTCACACATGAACTTGAAACAAACAACTCTCTGCCTTTCCTAGACATCTTAATATGCAACTATAATAAATTAGATTTTAAAGTTTACAGAAAACCTACAAACAAAAACTACCTAATCAGTTTCTATTCCCACCATAACTAGAGAATAAAATCTGGAATAATAGGATTTTACCACAGAGCTCTTAGAATATGTATCCCTGACTACATAAATGGAGAGGAATATATTGAGAAAACATTGAAAAGTCTTTGCCATTTCATCCTCAATGCTAAAATACAAGCTCACAAAATCCATGTAACCAAAAAAAAAAAAAAAAAACACTTTAAAAAATTACATCAAAATCATAATTTTGCTGTCAACTAAATTTTCAAATGAATTGGTCATCCCTAACACTATGATTGTTACCACCACTTCCAATAGTACAAAAACATTTCTGTGGGGGAGACATCCTGTAATCTAAAAGCCTGTATCTATGAGCACAAAAGACATGTGCTTAGACAAACACTCTAACTCTTGTCATTACAAATGACGTGGGACATAACTTTGATTTCACTAATGCCAGCCTAATTAAGAACATAACCCTTTAAGAAAATATTAGGAAAACGTATAGCATTTCTATCACCTATAAACACTCACTTAAAACATTACATCACATCATCTTTTTACAGATCCATTATTCATGAATCTAACATGTCTAATACATAAAATAATGAAAACCTACAAATCCTTTTCAAAAATATGCATAAGAAATTCTTTAATAAATCCAACCAAAACTAGATTACAATATCCTGATGTTTCACCAACCCACACATGAGAATATAAATATCTACCCAAATACAAAATTGCTACATTTCACTGACATAAATGAGGGTGATATCTATAGACCTTCTTCTCTTGCTCGTCGCATGACGTTTTTTGTCCATGCTTTCATCTAAGGAAGGTAACTTTAATTTGTATAATTATTTTAAACATTTCAAAAACCTTGCTATTGTAAACATTTTAAAATGTTGTTGCTATACTCATAACTAACCTTATTTAGTGTTGGTTGTTTGCTCCTTATATAGAGGCTCTTGAGAATTTCAAGTTTTTGTTTTCATGGTGGAGTATACTTGTTATCTACTAGTATCTTTCTGAATTGTGAAGATGGACAGTAATGTGACTTTAATTGCTGTGTGATAGAGCTTGTAGCTGACATGTTGTAGAAACTGTTTTGATAATATTGTTGAGGCCAACAAAAATATATATATATATATATATATATATATATATATTTTTTTATTTTTTATTTTTTATTTTTTTGTCAGATACAATCCCCCAAAAGACATTTAGATTGATATGTTGATCACTAAACATTAGTTGACAGAAGAGTTATTAACTTGTCTATATTAAATTTAGTATCTGACTATATTTCTGAGATGAGGTATTGTAATTATTTACATTGTTCATGTTCACAATGTTTTGGCTGTTGTATGCTCTGGCCTTCTTCAGGTGATTGGAATTTCATCTGTTGGGGTGGATTGCCATACCTCTTGAGTTTCTCGGTTATTTCCCTTTAACTCGCCCAGTTTTTGTTCACCGCAGCCAGGTATTGAATGCACAACTCTTTGGGTCAAGTCACTTGTTTATTAGGTATGCATGGTGTAATGAGTTGGTTACTTATTTATCAGGTATGCATGGTGTAATGAGTTGGTTACTTATTTATCAGGTATGCATGGTGTAATGAGTTGGTTACTTATTTATCAGGTATGCATGGTGTAATGAGTTGGTTACTTATTTATCAGGTATGCATGGTGTAATGAGTTGGTTACTTATTTATCAGGTATGCATGGTGTAATGAGTTGGTTACTTATTTATCAGGTATGCATGGTGTAATGAGTTGGTTACTTATTTATCAGGTATGCATGGTGTAATGAGTTGGTTACTTATTTATCAGGTATGCATGGTGTAATGAGTTGGTTACTTATTTATCAGGTATGCATGGTGTAATGAGTTGGTTACTTATTTATCAGGTATGCATGGTGTAATGAGTTGGTTACTTTTATTTATCAGGTATGCATGGTGTAATGAGTTGGTTACTTATTTATCAGGTATGCATGGTGTAATGAGTTGGTTACTTATTTATCAGGTATGCATGGTGTAATGAGTTGGTTACTTATTTATCAGGTATGCATGGTGTAATGAGTTGGTTACTTATTTATCAGGTATGCATGGTGTAATGAGTTGGTTACTTATTTATGCATGGTGTAATGCATTGGTTACTAATGGTATGTTGGTGTAATGGTTGGTTACTTATTTATCAGGTATGCATGGTGTAATGAGTTGGTTACTTATTTATCAGGTATGCATGGTGTAATGAGTTGGTTACTTATTTATCAGGTATGCATGGTGTAATGAGTTGGTTACTTATTTATCAGGTATGCATGGTGTAATGAGTTGGTTACTTATTTATCAGGTATGCATGGTGTAATGAGTTGGTTACTTATTTATCAGGTATGCATGGTGTAATGAGTTGGTTACTTATTTATCAGGTATGCATGGTGTAATGAGTTGGTTACTTATTTATCAGGTATGCATGGTGTAATGAGTTGGTTACTTATTTATCAGGTATGCATGGTGTAATGAGTTGGTTACTTATTTATCAGGTATGCATGGTGTAATGAGTTGGTTACTTTTATTTATCAGGTATGCATGGTGTAATGAGTTGGTTACTTATTTATCAGGTATGCATGGTGTAATTTATCAGGTATGTTGGTTACTTATTTATCAGGTATGCATGGTGTAATGAGTTGGTTACTTATTTATCAGGTATGCATGGTGTAATGAGGTTGAGTTACTTATTTATCAGGTATGCATGGTGTAATGAGTTGGTTACTTATTTATCAGGTATGCATGGTGTAATGAGTTGGTTACTTATTTATCAGGTATGCATGGTGTAATGAGTTGGTTACTTATTTATCTCCAGATTTTATTTTAATTGGATGTTTGTTATATGTCATGTTAGATGCAAAGGTTTTATGGTTTTAATATTTTACTTATATTGCTTTTGTCCTTTTAATTCATTTGGAGACTCTCCATTTCTTGTTTCAGTTATTGGAACTGAACAATTGGCAGTGAATGATGATGGGCTGTACAACCAATCCTTAACCTAAAGGAATAATATTGATTACATAACTTAATTCAGATAACTAGTGAAATAATGATCAAATCATCTTTGAAGTTCAGACAAGTTTAAAGGCTGTTACTACAATTATGATTGAGGTTATAATGAAACATAAAAAAAAAAAAAATCTTTGATAGGTGCTGCTAGTATTTTCTTTGGTCAAGCTGAGAACTTTTCAGGAATGCTTTATACATACATCTTTTGCTTTAATATTTACCAATCTATTATGGCATCATTTTACTTTGTAAACAAATATTACTTGTCAAATATTTCTAATATTTGTATGTATGTAAACCCACCACCACACACACCTCAAATATCTGTATGTCTAGGCAGACTTTAAAAATGTCATTTTCTGGCTTTGTGGGTTTAACCCCCCACCCCCCCCGGTAAAATTGGTATGGATAATATATTGATTTTACAATAATCTCTATTTTATTCACAGAACAAGACTTTTTATCTGTTTACATTTCTGAGATGAGGTATTGTAATTATTTACGTTGTTAGGACTGTTGTCCTCATCTTTATTGCCATATTCATGACATTTTGGCAGTTGTGCACTTCGATCTTCTGCAGTGGTGAACAAAAACTTGGAGAGTTGAGTTAAAGGGTGATAACTGAGACAGCCAGAAGAGGCATGGCATGTGGAACTAGAATCATCTACTTTAGTAGATGAAATAAAAGGTTCAGTTAGAAATTCCAATCTGTGAATGTAAATAATTAAGACTTAAATGTTATCTCATTCTGTTCCATATTTTAGCATTTATCAATATGAATGTAATATCAAATGTTTTTGTTCTGTAAAGAAAAAGTATCAGATTGTTTTGCACATTTGAGAATTTACTAGTATTTTTTTTTTCTCTGAAATTCATTTAATATAATCATTCCCCTCCCCTTCACTGTGCATGTACATTTTTAAGTTTCTTGTAATATCAAACTGTATTGTTCAGATTAGTCATTGTCCATGACTAATGTATTTTTGATAGTGAATCTTAATTGGTCTATATTAAAATGTGGATAATGTGACAAGACTTATTTAATAAAGATCAATAAAGTCAATACTTGTTTAGTTTGGACAGATTTCATCCTCTCTCTCTCTCTCTCGTTGCCTCTTATGTAGGGTGTGTATGAAATAAATATTATCCTGGCATGATGAACAGCCTAGTAAAAGATAAATTGATAATTATCACCACTGACAGAAATTAGGGATAAAATATTAATTTTTATTTTATCTTTCTGTAAAGATAGTCCCCACCTCCCTTTTCTTTCTTTCTTTCTTTAAACCTGCTTTAATTCTAATTTGCTCTAATTAATAATCTCATTAAATCTGAAGTCTGAAAGATACAGGAAATAACTCATTGATTCTTTTGACAGAAATAGAAAGTAATTGCAGTTGATTCTATCTAAGTAAAGAATAGATGGAAGATTTAAAATTTTTTTTTTTTTTTTTTTTTTTTTTTTAAGCAATGGAACCTTTTTCAAAGAGTAGGTAAACCTGCCTGTCATCTGCTTCATACTACTCCCTGTTTTTTGGAGCATGAGTAGAGGTTTATCCCTTGTTTCCTGTTTAGGATTGTGTTTCTGGTTCCTTCAACTCTGTACTCATGATGTCTCTGCCTGAAATTTTATTCAGCAATTACTTTTTTCGTTCCCCCCAATAGAAGATCGATTCACGTATTGTCTGGTTCACCCACCCCAGCCTTTTTTTAACAGGAGTAGAGGTTCATTCCTTGTTTGCCATTTAGGACTGGTTTTCCAATACCTTCTAAAGTTTACTTCAATTCTGTACTCCTGACATCTCTGCCTGAACTCTGAAATTTTATTCACTAATTAAATTGTGATCTCTTCAAGTCTAGAATTAGCTATCTTTTCTGTTGTTTTGCACTTTCTTATACTAATACAACTCCGTACAGTAACCCTCTACCTTGAGTGGCTCCTGGGGCTTGTATTGGGTGAACGTTTAGTTAAAAAAAATTCACTATATCAAAATTATTAAACACAAACACAGTGGAGTTTTCAGGTGAATATTTTCATATTAGTGGCAAATTTGGATATTTAATCACTTGCTAAGCACATCAAAATCCTACTTTATTAAATTTAAATTCAGTTTAATAAATTTCTCATTCTTACTTTTGTTCAAATTTGCTTTTTATTTTTTTAAATGAAAGGTTTTAATTTATCTTTGAGGAAATATATTTAACTTATATATATATATATATATATATATATATATAATTTTTTTTTTTAATTTCTTTTTAAGCTAAAAAATAAACAAAAACAAACCAAATGATGCTGAAAAATCTTATTGCTGTCACTTGTATCAATACAATCTATTTTGTATGACCATAAATATTTTTGTTTTGCAGGGACACAGCTGGTCAAGAAAGATTCAGGACTATCACGACAGCATATTATCGAGGAGCAATGGTAAACAATCTTGATCAGAAATGATTTAATAAAAATGCTTCTGTGAAACTTGGCAGGACATCCAAGGAATATTAAAATGTTAATTTCTGTACATCTATTCAGTCGTAAGACTTTTTGTTTATTAACCAAGTGTGATATTGCCTGAGATTCTGTAATAGTGATCACTTTGCTTGCTTTATATATATATATATATATATATATATATATATATATATAATCATGCATTTATATATCCAGTTTAACTTTGCAGATAGTGTTTGTGTATTGATAATATATCTCTTACTCTTGATGCTAACTAGCTGAATCCTTCTTATATTTTGGTAATCGTGTATAAATTTTTAATGGTGAAAAAAAATTTCGGGTAATAAAATTATGGTCTTTTCTTTTTTTTCTTAAATTTGTGCCCCATATCCAAATAATATACCTATTACAATAAATGTTGTCTTTAAAGAAAATTCCTCAAGGAAATGTGTGCCTTGTTTGGGTATTTTATGACCTTGGCCTTTTTTTTCTTTAAAACTTTGGCCTGTTTACATGGGTAGGTTTTTGACTTTGGTCTTATGATGCACAAATTAATGAAAAACTGACAGCAGAGTGACTTGATGTTCCATATTTAGTTGGTAAGGCTTACATACACTTAAAATACTTGTGAAAAAGAAATTCCTTTATTTTCAAAGCAAACACCTCTTCAGTAATGTAACTTTTTATATAAATAGGTACTTGGAGCAATTATTTCCTTTTTAAAGCTTTAGGTATTCCAAATTGTAAATTTGCTGTTACAGTTTGATATTTTTGTCTCTGAATATATTTTAAAATCATGTGTAATGATCTCTTCATTCTGTAATATTTTGTTAATCTGAAATCAGCTTGTCTTATATATATATATATATATATACATCTATATATATATATATATATACACACATTACGCTTTTTTTTTTTTTCTCTGTATAAATCTTTTGGGAATATGCGAAACACCTTATTCAATCTAGCAGTAAGTGGCTGAAGTTGTAAATGAAGCATTTTCATTTTCAATTAACTGGACATCTATGTCAGGTGGCTTATGGGACATAGGATGCACGTTCTAGTTTTGAGGCAGTTGCACCCCATCAATGTTGCTTGGTTAATGTCAAAGAACTCCCCCCACCAAATAGGCCAGCAGCAGTGAAAGTGTTAATGTTGATAGTTTTACAGGAATAGAACAATAGGAATTATTGTGGATGTGCTTTATGGATTCTTTTTAAAAGAATTTAACAATAAGATTAAATCATGAAATGGGATGGTTTGTACATTTTTAAAATTTTTTTATTGTTTAGCTTTCACATTATGAACTGGTTGGTGTTTCTGTTCCCATTGGTATGATTTGCTGTGTACAACTCTGTCGAAATGACTGACCACTAACTTTAGTGGTTATCATGCTTATTCATAAAAGCTGGTTTTGTTAGTCACATCGCAGTTATGTAAGATGACTCCAGTTTACTGGCCAGGAATGTCTCAGCAGCCAATAAACCTTTTCTCACAACCCCTTGTTAGACTAATTACTTCAATGGTAGCCAGTTCAAATTTGGTGCACAGTTCACACTTGAAATTCTTTTCACTCTCATTGGCAGGGAAATGCCATCATTGAGAATATCTCCAGTAATTTGCTTGAAAGATAAAGTTTATTATTATGGCATTGAAGACCTACAGTATTATTGCTCAATAGTATTTGTGAAAGAGTATTCTCTTGGTAAACATTTAGATTGGTAGTAGTAGTAAATTTAAATTTTTTTTTTTTTTTTTTTTTTTACTTTTTTTGCATACACTTGGATGCAAAACTATTCAAGGCTGTTGTATTCTCCAGGTAAATGTAAAGACTGATAGATGAAATTTAATGCATCCTTTATACATCAGCTAAGGACACAATATTTTTTCAATAATTGAAATTCAGAATGCTTTCACACCAGTTCCTGCACAGTCACTTAAGTTAAGCAACATCAAGCCTAGTCAGTACCTAAATTGGTAACCACTTGCAAATACCAGGTGCTATAAGCTTGGATGTGTGTGTGTGGTGTAATGGATAATGGCTCTGAATTGTTAATCAGAGAGCTCCATTTGGGTTCATTGTATTCACTTACATGCAAATACCTTTTGAAAAAGTGTGTATAAACCTAGTCTCCTCCCAGCTATTGGTTAATTGGTAAGATCTGTATCGCTAAATTATTCAAAAAAAAAAAAAAAATCTTAAAATCTAAATATTTTCTGGCTTTAAATGACCTGCAAAGAGGTTGATTTGTTTTCTATGAATTATCAATCAATTCTTTCAATTTATTTTTTAGGAACTCCAATTCCCACTCTTCTAAGATTTCTCTTGAAAATTTGTTTATAGGGAATCTGAAAATGATAGTTAAAATCTATGCAAACATCTGAGAATTTGCACACTAAAATAAACTTAATTGTATAGATACAATTAATGTTGTGTATAGCATAACTTGAACTTTGTCTTTTAATAATAATAATAATAATAATCTGTTATATATTTAGTGTATTTTGAGATTCAAATCTTATTTATTGACTTGTTCTCCAAACGGGTTTGCAATGTCTCTTATCAGTCAACTTGACAGCCTTTCCAGTATTGACTGCAACAGGAGTCAAGAGAATGTAACAATGGCCATGGCCTTTCCTCTGTATCCATAATTATTACATAAGCAATTGAAACAGAAGCTGATATGTTAATCAAAATGGATGATGTTGACCCAATCAAAACTTAGCAGTTTACCTACTGTTGAAAGTCTTTAGTCTTAAAATTTTACTTTGAAAATGTTTACAATGAATCAAATTATTCAGATAGAAAATAATGTCCAAACCATTTTGCAACAGTTTCAATTAAAACTTGGTAAAATGTTCTCTAAAGCCTTCCCATTTGACTGAAACAATCTGTGCTAATTATCCCATAAAATAGTATTGAGCATTTCTCTTTTCATCTCTCTTGTTAGATTCTACACGATTCTTTTTAGAGAATTACATTGATAAAATGCAAAAACGGAAACAAAAACTTCCTTTTTCTGGTATTTTTCTAGAATGAAACATTTGTATTTTATTTGCTGAATACATATTTTTCATGGTGTTGATGCAATAGGTGTCATAAAAAATATTAATTAGAAATTGAACTTTGATAGCTTTTATTTAAAAGCTTGATAATTGAACTCGCTCAGGAACATGTTGGCATGATAATTAACATTTGAATTTCTGGATTAAGTTTTTAATATTTGACAAATTATGAGTTTGAGATGTGTGTGTGTATATATATATATATATATATATATATATATATATATATATACACACACACACTGATGAATGTTGAAAATGCCATGGTTATAGAACATGTGAACAATAAAGGCATTTAAATTAAAATAGGATCAGCAATCAAGGAGAGATGACTGACAATCCCTTGGACACCTGAGGAAAGAAGTTCCAGAGAATGTTCACAGGATATAGTAAAGGAAAGAGAATCAGGTGGAAGCAACAAGTAACATACTTAATGAGTTTGTGTGAAGTCAGTATAAACAGGGATTGGTAAAGGATCAAAGGTTACTTAGAGCGTAAAAAAAACACGTTGTGAAGATCCATAATCAGCCATTTTCATGGCACATGAAAGGAATTATAAATCAATGTTTAAAATTTAGTTTGAGGCCATAAATTATGAACACTTGAATTTATTGGTCATGCAGCCTGATATCCTTTTGATGTATTTCATTTTTGTGCTAATGGGAGGCATTGATACCAATGATCAAAAATATCTCCTGTTGCCATAACAGAATCTCATTAGTAAGTACTGTGATCAGGCTGCTAATATATCACTTATTTCACATTAGCTTTCTTTAAATATTTAAACTTTTAACATGTTACATTAGGGAATTGCATAAATAATAATTCAAGATGATGATGCTAAAAATATAAGCAATGCAATTTCCAAATTAAGTGAAGGTTTTGTTATATATATAAATAATTGAATCTGTATTTTTTTTTTTTTTAAGTTGCTCTCCCCTCTATATCATGTTAAATGTTTTTAGAAAAAAGGTGGTCTGTGGCTTTGAAGCGGGGGTTAGGGATTAAGCATGCCCTTTTGCTTAAGACGCTAGCAATATAAACCATTTTGAACATTCCGTTAAAATTTTCTTTACAGCTCTTGGCTTGGCCCAGCACAGTTTAAGATTTCACTTAAGCACATTTTTGAAATTTTTGTTTAACTTATGTTCTAGGCTAGTGGCTTTACATTCTGTCCAAATTTGCATACTTAATACCCGCTATCCACGCATGGCATATGAAATTACTAACAACTCAAAATATTGCTCTTCCAAATGTATGATATTTCAAATGCCTACATAATAATCTTTGTAGGCTAATATAAAAAGACTAATTAACAAAAAAGAAAATCTTTGAATCGTACTACTGTAGATATCTGTAAACTGTTCCTTCCTGAAAAAGAAATGAGAAATTGTTGGTCAAAGCATTCACTGATTGAATGTAAACATGAGGCTATCCTTGGAAATTATTTGACTATTTTGTTATAGTCTTTAAATTGGCTAGATCTGTTAAATTTATTGGGAATAAATAAATCGCTGTTAATTTTGGAAGCACTTTTCTGGATCTGTGAATAAGATGAGAAATATGTAAATAATTGAACGTTTGCTGGGTCACTAAGATGTGTGCCATTTTAAAATGGCTGTTTATCTTGGTGCAGTTGTTTCATGTGCAATCATTTAATGATATGTTGCCATTTTTTAAATTTATATTTTCTATATCTTCCATATTTTTAGATTATGGCTTATTGCTGCTGGTCATTGAAAAATAAACCAATGCTTTGATGTACTTTTTAATAACTTGTCTAAAGTTAGCTTTTATCTGCAATCTGTGCTTTCACTAAAAAGAATGAAAATAGGTTTACCATTGTGGGTGGGTATAGAGGTGGGTTTAATTGTATTGGTAACTTTACATATGGTTCTTAATTTTTTAAAATATACACACACACACACACACTTAGAAGCTGCTGTATCAAGCAGCATTTTTAAGCTAGTGCCTGCTGCAGCACACTCTTGATTGGGCCTTTGGCTGGTTCAGGAGTTTGAGAGTCCCTAAGTCTTTGCATATTCTCGGCATTGGAAGCTCTCCTAGCTACTATTCGATCTGGGTTTTTCATTTGCATGGGACTTTTTTCCCTCACTGCAGCTTTGGCTCTTTTGATTGTGATCTAGTCTTCTGTTGGCAGATTTATTTTTGTGAGGCATACTGCTGCAGTATGCAATAGGCAACAAACTACAGAAGAACTCGAAATTGATTGTTGCATTAACATTGAAGCTTACCTTTCAAAAGTTCAACAATAATTCTTCTGCCACCACTTAATTTAAAGACAATTTGATGTACATAGGTTCTTTCTGTCCAAACAATTCTTATTTCATGGGTAACTTTCACTGGATTTTGCAATTTCAATTTTTTCCAAATTTATTTCCAAGTTTCTTATTGTAAAAAAAAAAAAAAAAAAAAAATTATCGCCAAAAAATCATGTAGAAAAAAAAATTACCAAATACAATCACAGTAATGAAAACTTAGGAATCCAAAATTTGTGTAATATGAGCTATTGAAAGTTACAGGGTTGTGTCTCTTTTAATTGAAAATGTGGCATTCTCACACACACTGACCAAAGATTTGATTTACATCATTCAATAATTTCAATGGACTTAACAAAATCCATTTTATATCTATCTATCTATCTATCTATATATATATATATATATATATATATATATATATATATATATTTATTTATTTTTTTGTTATGTTGAAATGTCTTTTGTGCTTATTCACAGCCTTTCTATAGAAAATAAATGCTATTATGTTATTTTGGATCTGCTTTAGTTTTGTTTGTACAAACTACAGAAAATGGAAAGAAGTAATTTGATAATTCATTGAAATTATTGAAAGATGTAAATCAAATCTTTGGTCATTGTGGCTATTGAGTTTTGATCAGACTTGTTCATTTGGGGGATTTAAATGGAACACTGGACTGTTTAAAACCATTATAGTTTTCTGCACCCCCCCCGCCCTATTATTCACTTTTAATCTTTTCCAATATATTTTGATAATTTTGTAGTTTTCAGTAAATTTATTACTAACAAATTACTATGATATATAATTTTGGATATGTATATATTATGGCTACGGAAACGTCTTGAAATTTGTGTCCAAAATTTTTAGCATTTAAAGACATTTTTCCATGTCGTCAAAAAAATCGAATAGTATAAATTTTTTAAAAACTTTTCTCATAATTGCCATCTTTGTTGAAAATATTAAAAATAATTGAAGTGAATTTTTACTTTCAGGGAATTATGTTAGTTTATGATATTACAAATGAAAAATCCTTTGAAAATATAAGGAACTGGATCAGGAACATTGAAGAAGTAAGTTGATTCTTTCATTTGGATCTTTATTTACACTTGAGCATGACAATTTTTTTTTTTTTTTTTTGTCACTGTCCTCTTTGACCCAATGGTGGAGTGTGTTAAATATTATTTTCCACTACTCATTTCCCAAAATCTGACCAAATGACCAGTTTATTTTTTTTTTTTTTTTTTTTTTCTATTCATTTTTCATTGTTTGAGAAGTTCTTGGCAGCCCTGCCTGCAGCCATTAGCAATAATGTATGAAGCTGACTTTTATTGTTTTTGCTTATTTTCAACTTTTAGCATATTGTTGACTTAGAAATCATCATCAAATGTTTTTTTTTTTTTTTCTTTCTCTCTCTCTAATTGTAAAAATTTGACCAACTGGAAATAAAACAAACTTTTACTCGGCTTCTCTCCACTGGGTTAAAATGGAAGTTTCAATTTCCCAACAGGATAGTATTTGTAAGATAAGTATCTGTTGCTTATAAAAATTTTCATAAGATTTATGAACACTTGTAGCAATCAATCCTGTGGATTCTAGAAAGAAATGCTGAACAAGAAAAAAAGGTTTATCAGAAAACATTTGCCTGAAATGTGAAGTTATGATGAATAGAAATTTGATTTGAAATTGCTTGCTTTACTTTGTAATGATTAAGTAACTGACATTTTTTCCTCCTTGTGGTTGATAAAAATCAGGACTTTTCTCTTGAGCTGTTTCTTGGCTTTTAGGACAATTTATTGTAAGTAATTTTTCAATGATTTTAAGGTTGCTCTCTAAATCCCCCCCCCTTTTTTTTTCTTAAAATATATCTTAATTATTAATTTGTGAATTGCTTCCTTCTGGAGTAAAAATCAATGGTTAAATGATATTTGAAGAGACAATTTAACTTTGTTTTATTTTAAAATTTTTTAAAATTAGTTTTAGTCTTTATTTTGATTTGCATTGTAGGATGTCTATATTTGTTGTGAAGGAATTTAGTTTATTTTCAGCTTACTGTTTCAGAATCCCAGGTCAAATTTATCTTCTTGCAGTTTCCTTAATTCACTTAACTGTAAGTGTGTATCTTTTCCATCCAAAATTATGTCCCAAAGTCTGCATCTTGTACCTTTGTTTAGTACTTTATCCTATTTTTTCCAGGACCTAAAATGGATATTCTGGGTGGATTGGATTTATTTGTTTTTTCCTAGATATCTATCTAATGGCATATTGCAACAAAGGGAAATAAAGCTTTCATATTGTTTCTTTAAGTTCTGTACGGTTTTTTACTTTTTGTTGAGGATAAACACTTGCATGAATTTGAAAATCGCTCAAAGGTAAAGATATTTAACTTATGATGACAAAAATACAGAAAGATGGATAATTTCAAAACAAGAAATATTAATTCAATTTCATTTAGATTTATTCCCTCAACGATTATTGGTGATTTTTGTAGTCTTATTACCCCAAGAGTCATTATCCCAGTTTTGTTAGTTTACTTTTGATTAATAAGATTGTGTTTATATATATATATATATATATATATATATATATATATATATATATATATAAATTTTTTTTTTTTTTTTTTCTCACAAGTTTTGGTCACTTTGTTCTAAAATCTGCATTTTATAAATTAGCTTGCCCCCTCCTCCCTGGAATTTTTCTGCAGCTTTGTCTTGTAGTCCATAGCAATCTATACACAAAGGGTTATGGTATTTGGAATTTTCTTTTACGTATGGCTAAAATTCCTCCCAAGTGCTGTACAAATCTAAGGGGAGATAACAGGAACTTTAGTTTGAACCGTGTATCTTATTTTTTACTGTGATGTGCAATACAGTTAACTTAGGAATCAAACTGTTTTATATTATTACATAATTAATTTTTTTTTTCTTTTTCTTTTTTAAATTAAAGCATGCATCCAAAGATGTAGAAAAAATGATTCTAGGAAATAAATGTGATATGACTGAGCGACGACAAGTGTCAAAGGAAAGAGGAGAACAGGTAAGAATAAATTTGGATTGTTTATTATAGGTTTAACCCCAGTGTGCATAGATCCCAATTTATTTTTAACAGGATTGAGGATACCAGAGGAAAAAATATGCTTCCTTTTCTTAAGCTAATGGCTTTAAAAAAAAATTTAACCCAGCTGCAATTTTGACGTTTCAATCTGCTTAGAAAGTGTACAAATTTTATACCGAATCCCATTTCATCCTAAGTTTTATATATAAACACAGTTGATTTTTTTTAATAGATATTTTTTATTTTCAATGTCTTCATTGAATGCTATACTGGAATTTTTTTTTTTTTTTTTTTTTTTTTTTAGTACTCGGAGAAGCGGTATTCATAGAAATTGGTCTTATCTGTAAAATATTGTCAGTCTCGATAAGAATTAAACTTTCTATTTTCAGCAAGAAAAAAAAAAACAACTATCTTTTGGCATGAAGATATTAATTGCTAATTTTCTTTTCATTAGCTTGCTATTGAACATGGAATAAAGTTTATGGAAACCAGTGCTAAAGCCAGTATCAATGTAGAGGAGGCCTTCTTTACACTAGCTCGAGATATTAAAGCAAAAATGGACCGTAAATTGGTGAGTCAATTGTAGTTTTTGTTCTACTTGTTTCTTGGGTGCATTTCTTAATTTCCTAAAGAAATTCATTGTATGAAAAGCATTTAAGTGAGACAAATCTTGGTACGACTGGTTATGAGATATGGTTTGGGAAATTTACAAATAGATTTCTGAAAAGTTGTAATTTTTAGTTGATTACTAGACCATCCATAAACCTGTTGGGTTTCCTCTTAAAAACAGTTCATGATAGAAAAAGATGAAGTAACAATATTATTAATTTTACATATTTTAATTTGTATTTGTAATACAAATTATTGTAATAACTACTATTACATTCAATAATATTACTGAGATCAAACAAAAAAAAAAAAAAACAAATGGAAAGGTTTTCAGAATTTGAAGAAATACAGTCCCTGATACACAACAGAAAAACAACAAAACTTACAACATATTAAAATTGTGATATTGAAGTAAATTTAATACTTTTAAATTTATTTATTGATTCCACAAATAACAATTTGTCTGAAGGGGAAAACATTCCCCTTAAATGAATTAGGTACCTTAGGTAATTTGATATACTTTAAAATGAATTTTCATAAATGAAAAAATCTTTCTTGAAGTTTTTATTTTAACTTTAAGTGAAAGTTAAAGGATTAGATTTACAATTTCAATTAAACAAAATACTCTGTAGTGTATTTCAAACAAATTCTATTGATTGGAGTTCATTTGTTTTTGGCTAAAAATAGTTGATTAGTGCCCTTTGCTTTTTTTTTTTTTTTTTTTTTAAAAAGCCATCTGTCAATGTAATGAATTTTTCTTTAAAAAATAAAATATACTTTGAAACTTTGAGGAATATTAGTTTAAAGTATAATTAATTTGATTTTGAAAAAGGAAAAAAAAATATTTACTAGGTTAAAAATGTTTTTTTTTTTTTAAAACAAACAGTAGTGGTGATTAAGTGCTTGTCAGGGCTTGTAAATCACTTGTCATGATTTATTATTCTTCTATGGAGACTTTAACTGTTAACATATAATTTAAGAAAATGATGCATGAACACTTTCTTATATAGTTTTTTAAGTACTCAATCTTAAATGTTGGCAATATTTGTTGTAATCTAATTTTAGGAATGTTCAATTTAAATTTACTATCATGATCAATTTTATTTTTCTGATACTGTTGTGTATGGTACCCATACTTTCAAAATGGTCACCTTATTCACATGAAAGAAATTAAAACTCATTCTAAAAATATTAGTGTGATGATTTGCATTATGTTCTTCAATTTTTCACTTAGTAAATATAGTCTTCACTTAATAACTTAATCTAATGGGGGCAGAGTTTGGAAGAATTTTTAAGATTTTTGAAACTTTATAAACTATTATAGACAAAAACAAAATGAAAACAATTATAAAAATTCATTGTTCATTGAAAAAAAAAAACAAAAAAACTTCAGACTATCATGTCCTTAATATTTATTTTTTTAAAAGTTTATCTAATTAAATAATTAAGTAGTTTCATTACAACTTTTATTTTAAGATTTGGAGCAGATTTTCAGTAAAGTATTAGTAGCTTGGGGGAAAAAAATTGATTTACCTTCTCCAAGGAGTCCTGTGCTTAACTAATAAAACAAATTTGGTGGATGGAATTTAATTTCTAGAGATTTAATGAAATTAAGTGAGTGGGGTTTTGGGGCCTTTTTTTGTTATCATGGTGTGCTATATATATATATATATATATTAGTGGAGGTGCCTACTACAAACTGATTAGATATTATAATTTTCAAAGCTAAAGGTCATAATGAAAAAACAAACTGCAAATGTCTGCTTAGGGGGACTCATTTATTGAAATAACAAAGTATAGATGCCTCCTTTTTGTGCACATAGTTTCATAGTTTTTTTTTTTTTTTTTTTTTTTTTTTATATTTTACCCTAGATAATTTGTTTGAATTTTTTTTTTTTTTTTGTTCCTCCTTCATGTTTCATGTATGAAAGTTGTCTTTTTTTTTTTTTTTCTGTTCTGTGTATCAGGGACTGCATTTCTTCAAATTTTGAAAATTTTTTTTTTTTTTTTTTTTTGTTTGATCTCAGTAATATAATGTGAGTAATACGTAATAGTGGCAATCCAGCATGCATCTATTTACTTACCATTACCATAAAGGCATGTGACACAACTTTCCAACTATAACAGATTGTTTTACCATGACATGTTTACATAGCTACTTCACCTATCAAGTAGTTGCCAAACATCCAAGATTTTTGTTGATAAAGCTCAATAATGTAGTGAACTGTGAAGAAGGAAATTACTGGAAAGTAATTGAAACTCACCTGAAGCAAGCTGAATGTGTAATGCTCCTCATGCCAATGACACTTCCACCAAGCTTCACTACGGCATATGACTTCACTGAATTTGATGCATTCCTCTCAAATTTTAAACTGGGGTCATCAGAGAATGTGCACCGTTTTGGAGCCTTCCTCTCAACGGTTTCAGTTGCACACCGGCCCCACTCACTGATGTGAGGCCCCATTATAACGATATACAAGTGTTGTAGATAAACTAGTTCAAATGTGTAACGGCGAAATTAAATTTACGAAAATTCCAAAAAACGGCAAACCTCGCGTTAGTGAACTGTATAAATGTGTATATTTAAATTTTAATTAATGTTTTTATAACATATTTTGAATGTTTATTTTTCTCACACATTAGTTGGAATATAATATGCAAGTGTTTGTTTCTATATTGCACATTGATATAAGAAAACAATATTGAATTTTTTCTTAAAAATGCTGTAAAAACAAACAGCCCTAACTCAAGAGCCCCTTGTCTAATTTTAATTAAATTTTTCACTGCACTTGGCAGGGATTCAAGGTACAGTAGTTTACTATCTAACTGTAGGGAAATTCAGTTCCACATGTAAGCATGTGGAATTTGTAGACACATTTAAGCAACTTTCAGCCTTAAATGGTGAAACAAAGTTTTATTGCAATAATTGCAAACCAATTCTGTTTTTCAAAATTGCATTCTATACATTATTTTGACTGGGGTGGGGGTGCACACTAACTGGTTTTCCTAGACTGTTTGCCAACCAAGGTTTAGGGAGGGTTAGCCTGCCCTGCTATTTGACTCTTATCATGGAGGAGTGGATATTGATTTCTCATTAGTATTTGTGTGAAACAAGCAAACTCTGAGGGAATTTGAACTTGGCCTACTAATTTCTTCTGATTGTTTTAATCATTATGCCGACAACCACACATCTGTAAATGAGATGAGGAACCTTTGTAAAGAATCTCATTATTTGCCATTTTATAAAGTTTGCATAGATTGACAATTAGCAGATTTTCTTTTTTTTTTTCCTTTTGTGAACCATTCCAATAAACAGTCAAATAGTGTTTATTATTTTTGTTGCCAATTCTCAAGAAATTTACTTTCATATGTTTAGGTTTTATTAAAATTCTAATTACCAGTTTTTAAAATAATAAACATTGAAGAGTGAAGTAGTTAAAATAAGTGGGGGTCTGTGGGCAATGAAGTTCCAAGTTTGCATTTATTTTCTTTTCTAGTTTGAATTTTTTTTTTTTTTATAAAGAAAATATCTTTTTCCCTTCCAGGAGGCATCTAGTCCGCAGAACAGAGGTGGAAGCTATCAATTAACACGGAAAGATCAAACACCGAAGAAGTCATTCTGGAGGTGTAAACTGCTTTGACTCCCTTCCTCTACTCTCCTCCTCCTCCTCCTCCCATTCCTTTCTCTTTTCTTCCTCCTTCGCCACAGCCGCCTTTATCATACAGAAAACAAACCAGCCGCAGCAGTGACAGTGACATCATCAACAACAGTACTACTACCAGCAGCAGCAGCAGCACCACCACCGACTACAAATTCCTAGAACAGAGCAGGAGCCTGCATTTTTAGGATATGGGATGTTATAATGTTTGAACATATTTATGCCGGCTCACCTGTACTCTTGTCTCAGCAGCTAGAATGATGGACCAATCCTGTTTGTTTGCATGTCCACCAACAATTCTCTTTTTTCCCTTCCCCCTTCTCTCTTTCTCTCTCTCTCTCGTATATCTCCCTTTCTCAAGTGGTTGGTAGGAGTCTTGTGGTCATTTTTCTTCTATCCAATGAGTTCAGTGACTGACACCATCAATGTACCAATCGGTCTTGATGAACTGGCATGGAGAAAAAGCGGGGACAAGGTATATTTGGCAATTCTGCCTGCTGTCGAGGGATATTCTGATAAGGATTCATTTGGCAGCTACACATTTACCAGCATGTGTAGCTGGTCTTGCTGATCCACCCCCCCAGGACTAATTTTATCTTTTTTTTTCTCCCCCACCCCTCCATTCACAGCACTTATATCATACAATGCCTGTGTACTATGATTAAAACCAGGGGGGGTGGGAATAATATATATAAAACATTGTTGGGGAACAATTGAGGGAATTCAAAAAGAAAAATACAAAAAAAAATACAATCATGAAAATTTGTATTGATATTTTTTTTTTTAATTGGCTTTTTTTTTAATTTTATATATATATATATATATATATATATATATATATATATTTTTTTTCTTTTTTTTTTTTTTTTTTTTTTTTTTTTTTTTTTTTTTTTTTTTTTTAAATAAAACCATATTTTAGTCAAAAATACATATACAAATATGTATGTTATTTTATATATGAGGGGGTACTGAAAAGTTCATTGTGAGCAAGAAGGGATTTAAACAAAAATTTAATGTTGTTTGGTTAGGATGCTTGGGAGGTTGGTTGGGCAGAGAACTTTTCAGCGTCCATCATTTTAAATATAAATAAAACTTGCATATGCTTAAAAAAATTGAATCTGTCTGAATTAGACAGTAAACATATGAAAGGGTGTTGTAAATTTTTTTTTTTTTTCTTAGCTCACTTCTCAAAATCTGACCAAACATCATAAAATCTATTTTTAGTCTCTTCTTGGTCAGGCAGAGAACTTTTCAGTACCCCTTTGTACATATCCCCCACCTCCATATTGAAAATAATGCTCTCTCTCCCCCACCTCACTTTACTTAGTTACTGTATAATCAAAGCCAGGTTAGTGGGTAGGTTTACTGTGCTGATCTCTTTTGATCCTTGCATTAGGAACTTGGCTTTCTGATGCTGCCTGTTACTCTTGAGTTTTAAAACCTCTGCTCATAGGAGGGATCTGAATTTACCACAAATGTAGACATCGGAATGTACATAACAAAGTCTATTAATATTTATACAGAAACGTTCATAGAAATCTTCATAAAGAAACAGCCGTGTGTGTGTTTGTAAAATAAATCACATGTGCATTCACACACTGCTCTATATGTGTTGTCATAATTTTCTGAATTGAAATCTAATCATCACAGTTATGTTTTTTTTTTTTTTTTTTTTTAAATCCCCCCCACTTCCTGGGAATCTTGGCTCATATATATAGTTTAGTTCCTGAGTAAATAAACATAAAACTATGTTGGAAATTAGGCTTGTAATTATTACAAGTGAAATGTTTCAAAATTTACAGCCAAAAGGAAGAATTAGTAACCTGATGAGATTTGTAAATGACTTAACGTGTTCTTCTGTGTCTTACAATTATTATGCTGTTGGTTAATACTAAGTTGTCATTGTTACTGACAGCCACCTGTCTGCAGTGTTGTGATTGTTCTTTTTTCCAGGACCTATAGCCATTTTCTTACAGGCTGAACTGAGGACTAAATATCGATAATAATTCTTTGTGGCCAGAAGCTGACCTCTCATTTGCTTCCCTCCCACCCTTCTCATCAGTTCTATTTCTTCTGAAGTAGAGAGAGAGAGAGAAAAAATTATTTTTGTTGATTTTTGGACAATACTGACATTTTATATTTCTCTCTCTCTCTCTCTCTCTCTGTTCTCTTTTCTTACTTCATATGGTTAGAGTAAACCACTCGCTCAGAACAAGTCCTTTTTTTTTTTTTTTCCTTTTATACATCTACATAGTGGTGTGACCTTCCAATCAACCATTTATATTTGCGCACACACACACATGTGTATATATATATATATATATATATATATATATATATATATATAGTGTGTGTGTGTAGGATTAATGAGTAAAATTTGCCACTTAGCTGATTGATGTTATCTTCAGCATCGTGACTCTAGAGTTTCGTTGTGGATGGACCTGTTTGTCCACTCTTCAGTGGGTATCAACAATTTACTCGAATGATCTTTCATTGCTTTGATCATTGATGATCTTGTCATGCTCAGCGCTGCCTGCTGATAAATTTTCCATATCTTCCTCTGATGTGCTGTGTATTTTTTGTTTTCTCTTTCTCAGCTGCTAGTCGCACAGACATCACCATCATTTGTTAAACTCTTAAAGATATGAACATCACGGATCAATAACTGGTTACATCACATACTATGGTATTGTGTGTATATAAAATATATATATATATATATATATATATATATATATATATATATATATATATATATATATAAAAAAAAACATACACACAAGGTGGACGGAAAGAAACACCGTATTTAAATTGTTAATACCTTTATTAATTATTGGTTGATTTTCATAAGACCTATTTTCATTTTGAACTGTATAATGGTAGAAATAGATTACATTGTTAAAGTTCTACATAAGCATCGGTGTTCTCAGCCAGTGTTTGTATTTGTCTGTGTATATCCTCAACTGACTTCATTTTGTGTACCTTTTGAACATTTTCTTCCCATCTGGATGTTGAAGGACGACCACTTCTGTGGGTATCTACCACAGATCCCGTACTCGTCAGCTTGGAATGCCAAAATTGTGATGATTTTGGCATCGACGGAAGGTTTGTAAACACTGTGCTACCATCTCTGCATTTGTAGTACAGACTGCCACGCTGCTCATACAGTGTCGGATGTGACATTCTGGACTACACTTGTTATTCTGAAATAAAAATGGAAATCAACAATGAAATTCTACCACTTTAGGGATCACGCAATTTTTTTTTTTTTTTTTTTTTTTAATGCAAATGTGATCTTGACAAAAGTTATAACTAATTTTCAATACGTTTCTTTCCCCCCACCGAGTATATGTAATGCATTGTATTGGTATTTCTGCTTTCTCCTGGCTGCCAATACTTTCATGTACATTGGACATTGTCGCTTCTTTTTTTTTCTTTCTTTCTTTTTAGATTAACAGACAAGCAAACTAATCACAGTCAACTCCATCCATTTTCTTTTCATTAACATTTTTTGGGATAAAGATGTAAGGTATGTGTGGAGATAGATATTTTTTGCTCCCCCTTCCATTCAAGAGGGTGGAGTGGGGAGAATAAATGAAGAATTTCTTTAATATTCAGGAAATTTCTTTGGACAGTTTTAATTATCTTGTGTTAAGGAATCTTAGTCTTTTGCTCTTAATTTTGCCACTAGTTAGAAAACCTCTTTTTCAGGACGATTACTTATAGAAATGTGATGCCTAAAAGGAACTGTCCCAAGAAACTTTCAGAATTTTAATGATCTGTCATAAGAGAAAAAAAACCAAAAAAAAACCACTTTAGAACAATTTCCTGTCTGGTATCATTTTGGCAGGTGAGTAACTGCAGACTCTTCTTCCCATGGTAATTGAAATTAATTTGGTAATTTTTTTTTTTTTTTTTTTTATTTTATTTTATATAGAATAGTTTGAGGCAGGGTGTGGGTGGTAATTAAAACAATTATCTTGAATGTCTGAGATGCTATTTTTGTCCCACCCAAAAACAATGGAAAAAAAAATACCCCCCACCTTTCAAAAGAATTAAGGAAACCAAAAAGGTATTTTTAGTTTGTGTGTGAGACACCTGAAAAGAAATAAAACCTAGCAGTCACATCATGATTGTTTCTGCTCTTTTTTTTCTGATTCCTTTTCTAATTTAAGAGAATAGTTCTTGATTTGAAAATTCTTCCCATGTTTCTCTCAACGTCATCATCTTGCATGTTTTGCCTTGTTTTCTGCTTTAGCCAATCCTCTTCTGTCGGGAACTTATTTTCTATATGCTTTAGTAACTTCTATTATACCTTCAAGCAAAAGTAAAATGGCAAAATGCACATATGTAACATTTTTTTATATTCCTTAATTTAAAAATGAATCAGTTGTTTTTAAACCAAATGTATTCAAAGAATTAAAGTGAATGCACTCAAATTTTCAGTTTCAAAGATGAAAAACATTTTGAAAAAAAAAATTGTTTAATTTCTATTAGACAACTCCTGCTGACCAAATGTGGTTTTCTTATGATACTTGTTATCTTTAATTAAAGCTTCTTATCTATTTTTTTTTTTTTTTTTAAAATACCATAATTCTTTCTGTTGGTAGCTGAGCCAAGATTTTTGCAAGTCTCATTTGTACTGATGGATTTGAGTCCATTATCTGAGAATGAAATACTGATAGATTTTGTTCTCCTTAACTGCTGGCTGAAGATTTCAAGAAAGATGAGCAAAAGATTTCATCCTTCTAGTATTTAAAAACAAAAAAAAAAAAAAAAAAAATCCCCAAAAACCAAAACCAGAATCTCTTAGGCTTTATCTCTTTTTCTCTTCAGACATTAACTTCTGTTACCCCTTCCCTTTCTTTAATAAGCGCTTTACTTTGGATTAATTTATGCATTTACTGCTTGGAAAATGTCTTAAAACCATTTTTAATTTTTTGTAACTTAGTATGAATAATAATAAGAATGATAGTATTTAC